ATGGCGTAAGTAGTCGTACGCTCGGCCCGTTGGGCCCGCCCATTACAATAGCTACCACCCTCTACCTTAGCGATCTAATTAGCTATCTAGCTAACTGTCTAGGACCCCTCTGCTTGTACATAGCGCCTCTTACAAGTTTTTTGCTTTATTACTTTAGTAATTATAGCTTTAAGGCGATTAAGTTTCTCCTATATTAACACTATATTATAAGCTATCTGCTAAGCTTCTTTACTTAACTGCTATATCTGCTTCTTAAGAGAACTTGTAGGAGACCCTTGCTAGATTTGCATATAGTTTTAAATAAGCGTAGCCTGCGCCTCTATTTCGCGCGCGTTGCGCGGCGTTTTTAGCTCTCAAGCAGTAGTCTCTTGCGCTAGTGGAGTTAGCGTACGCAGCATGACGTTAAGCTGTGATAAAACAACGTTATAATTATGTGGTGAAAGTCCAGCACCTTAGAACCCTCTGTGGATATTTTCTAGTGTAATAGCCTTATAATAGGCCTTTTTAAACGCTAGTAGAAAGGTTTCTTTGCTAATATAGTAGATGCGATTGCGTGCTAAGACCAAGATAGCATCACCATACGCGCGCTTTAACGGCGAGAAGCAGCCCACATTAAGAGGCTGTAAGAGGTGCGACGAGTGGGGAGGCATACAGAGGAGGATTATTTTCATCTCTTCGCAGAGATCTCGGAAATCCACTAAGCAGTGGCTCTCATGGCCGTCAATAATAAGCAGCCTATGCGTCCCCACAGGCCGCGCATAGGAATTAAAGTAACGAAGCTAGTCAAGCGCTAGATTGTTGTTCGTCTAGCTAGTAGGACTAACTTAGATCACCTAGTCGCGTAGCAGATCCTCCGTGAACTAGGTAGAGATTAGAACCTTGCTAGCGAAGATAAGAAACGCTAGGATACGCGTGCCTGTTGCGCTAACGCCTTATATTAGCGTAACCCACTCACGATTGCCTAGCTAGATCTTCTTTATTCTCTCTAGTTTTTCTAAGCCTATGATAACTAACTGTAATAAAATCTTGCTTATAATAAAGCTAGTCTTATTAAAGTTATAGATATCTTTGTCTATGATACTATACTTTGCCTTTATATTCTAAACTAGCTTAAACTAGCCCTTAATAAGCGCTAGGTCTTCGTAGAGAGCTCGCTGGTAATTATATGGACGGCTCTGGCGCGTACGCAGCTCAGGATTGCGCTGGACAAACCTATCAACCCAGTTCTTGCCCACCTCCTTCCCGCCACGCTCTCGGAGCAGTCTGTTGGCCATATCTCGCACGTCGTCTTTCCCACAGGGTAGTCCTCGCTCAGCCTCGACTATTACACGCATAGTAATAGCCTCCTCTTCTAGTTTTGTTAGGCGCCTTGCTGGTGGCTCCCAATCGCTTTGAGGGCGCTGTCTAGCTCGTCGACGCTGGATTGTTGTTCGTGGGACGCTATAGGCGGCAGCAGCGCGTCGTTCACTCTAAATTTGTTTAAAATCAAGATTAGTAATAGCAAGAAATAGATCTGCTTTAGTATAAGTTTTTAACGCGTTGCATTGTTAAGACATTACGCGTTGTTGTTGCAAAGGTGGGATATTATAGGGAAGTGGCCCACATACTGGGGTGGCCTGCTTACTGGTGAAACACGTTATAGATAAAAACACTATAAAAAATAATAGGTTATATTTAGGTCTTGGTATTATCTTTGTCAATGTATTTCATCACACGTGATGCCTGAAATCGTTTCGCAAACGATTTGGAAATTATATGCTGTTACCTATTTGTAGATCATCGCTAACAGCTATTAAAGAATAGTGCTGACAGCGTAGAATTTAAGTTGGCTAGTAGAATAGCAAAAATGCCGCAAATAGTGGGGTATCAGCTATAAAAGCAGATCAGGCTGAAAAGGCGTGGTAAATAAGATCGTTAGAATACCTAAAACAGCTAATAGAGATAATGTAGCATGGTAGTTCGACCGCGAAATCTCCGCCTATCGTATAAGAATTGATTATATCCAGTATAAGCTCTTAGACTACCTCCTTGATATCAAGCACTCTCACATCCTCTAGTGTCAAACATCTATTACCATGAAGTTTCCCCTGAGCCTCTTTCTCGCACTTCCCGCTGCAGTGATGGCAGTATGCCAGCCCCCAAATAACGATTACTTGAATGGCGGCCCTAACCAGCTAGGCCCCTGCCTAGGTTACTGTGACGATAACTATCCACATAGTGTGGATAGCTGCACTAAGAATGCGTGTGACACTTGCTCGTATCCGGTAGGTACTAAGTGAACTAAACAAGCCTACCCTTCAGAACCTTTAGGCACAACAACAAGGAAAGCTAACAACTATTTAATCGAGAAAGACTAGGAATTAATCTTCGCCATTACTGTTGCGATGAAGAGACTTTAGTAACCATACGATTAATCGCGAACGTTACTTGATAGTAGATAATAGTTCTTCATAATCAAATATTTATATAAAGTTATGATCAATTACAAGGATACATTTTAGTCGCCCGCTCTATACATCTCCAGCTATTCCAAACTATCGCAACAAATCCGAACAGAGTGACTTTAACGCCTATCTTCCAATTCTATTGCGAGTCCAGAAACGTCATGATCGAGCTGGTACTTGTCCGTCCCAAAGCATTTGCTCCACTTCCAAGTCACGCTGCACCCATTTAGTTGTGACAATTGACCATATACCGGACCAGATGAATGGCACAAACCACCCTAACTATTAAGCATGCTTTGTTAGTAGTAATTCCGTTGAAGTATATTGCTCGGGGATGGAAGTGATCAGATGTAGGAGGAAGAATGACTGGGAGAGAGAAATCGAATAGGCGAGACTAGAAAAGATGCAGTCCACTCACAACATAAGCAGTATCTCTCCTCACCGAGAAAATCATGTATGTGGTTCCAACAGCCATTAACAATGCTGGTAGCGCCCAAAACATTGATAGACGGTGCAACATCAGCCTAAAGTATGGACTTGCCTCATACCTCTGATTGAGTCGCATCCTGTACGCAGTCCCGCCGTCGCCATCTACAGCAATGATATCTTCTATGAGTGGATAGATAGCAGGCCGCAGATTCTCTCCTCTAGCAACTGACGATATGCGAAATGGGGCGTGCAAATGAAAAACGTACATGAGCTCCAAGAGACTCAACTCCAGTCCAAAAAATGCGAGGAGAGAAGGCAGTGGCATCGCCAGGACGCGGACCATGGGTTCTTTTGGCAATGTGCCAATAACAAGCTCTACTATAATGATGACAAAGGCTACAGTCATGTTCCATTGGAACCAATCACACTGTTGTTTCATAGATTCAGAAATAGGCAGCATGGGAACAATCGGGCACAGGATGCGCTTACTGAAAATCTTCTCGCGCCAATTGCCCGACACGTTGAATTCTTTTTGCAGAGTCTCCAAAATCGCTGAAAGTATTCTAAAATGGCCGTGCCTCCGAAAACAGCTGTGATTATGCCAAATACTATAGGCATGAAGTCAGTAGAGTCCTCAAGGCAAGATGAAGTTTAATAGACTGCGTACCAATATTGTGTTCCAAATCTGTGCCATACCATAATATGAAGTAAAGTAAGACGGGTAACGCGACAGAATCGAAAAAGACAAGCATCCAAAAGATGCCTATCCTTACCCTGCGATCGCGAAGAGAGTAATCAAGGCGTGGGAGAGTGGTGGTAGCCAATGGAATCATCTCGTTGGTAGATGAAGACGGGGTCGAGTTGTTTGGGACCGGATCTGGATCATGTACGCCATTAGAACGATGTCGGCCAAAGGCATTAGCTGCAACCTGGGGGTGACCAGGCTTCTCTCCATTCCACGTACTTCTCATACTCTGATGCGGTCAACAAATGTCCGTACTCACCAAAATAAGCACGAGAACAAAATGTTCAAGATGGTTGCTGCGCGGTCCTTCCGGTGAAGGTGACGTGAACTATTCTCGTTTGGGCGCTGCTCTGTTCTTAGAGGATATTAGCTGATATGCGTCTCTGTAAATCAACGTGAAAGATGGATAGGGACGAGAACACTACTTCTCAAACCCACATTTCAGTGGCCCAACTGCACTTATCCACACGTGGGTATCGCACTTTCTTGGTAGAAACCACAAGAGTTGCCGAGGCTTCGTAAGCTCACACCGCCACGGGCTGGTGCACCTAAAATATAGTTTCGATCTTGGCCTGTGCAGCAGGGCGATGTTGAGTCGAGTGGTACGTGCTGGTTTTGAGTAGTGTCAGGTGTTCTTATTCAGCTAGGCTACCGAGGGCAAACCAATCGCGATGCTGACAGCCATGGGCATCTGTGGGGGAGAATGCACAGTATTTGCCGGGGCTTCGTAAGCCCACACCGGCACAGCCTGGTAAGCCATAAAGCATAGGTAACGTGTACCTAGCCGACGGAATGGCTTGGCGTGCAATTAGTCACCAATCAGAGCAGCCGCAATCGATTAGGGTTAGAAGAATAGTAGGATAGGGAGGACGTGTCTAAAAACGAGACTAGCTAGCTGTATTAGGATTTTGTTGCGAATGCATGGTATATCCCCTACGACGGTATATGAGCACCCAAGCCACATTGGCTCAAGAAGATTTGATGTGACTCATCGCCAAACCTGCCCCCCTAGCTGTCTGGTCGGGGTCGAAGGTATCCGAAGGCATGGATCGAGAATGAATCCGGATTTCTGAAAGTCCAATTGGGTCTGGGGATGAAGTCTGAAGACTAATGCGCAGCTTACTGTCCTGACGCGAGTAATGCGCAGGGCTGATCTTCACAATTTAAGCTTGGCTCCATGCACAGTCCACTTGGGCTGAGAGTTAATCGCGAGACGGTTAAACTGCCAAGTGACCGGAACATTCACCAGCGCCCGAATTCCAGCAGGATGCAGGCACTATATAATCGCATCCATGTGCTTCTCGGGCGGCATATCGAACCGTGCAATTCCAAACTCCCCCATTGAACCAAATATCAAATATTCTGTATTGCTGCTGAACACTGGGTTTTGTTGTTTCGTCCCCGTGAGCCCTGTCTAACACACTGCATGTTGCGCTGGCCCCTTAGTTGTCAGAGGAAGATCTCAACTTCTGTCTCGAGAAAACCCCCCATTTTACAAACTCGTCGCGACTCTACCTCAACAACATGTCGGCTCCGAACCGTCAACTTGTCCCAATTCCAGGCCCTTCTGGTGTGGACAGCCCCCTTACCTTTTTGAAACCCGTGTTAACTGTTCTACAGCCTTGCCTATTGTCGGTAACACATTTGACCTCGATCTAGATGCCAGCATCCAATCGCTGGTCAACATGTTTGAAGAATATGGTAAGCTCGCTGCGCAGTAATCCAAGGCCATATCTAAGCATGTGGCTGACCTGACGCGGACAGGGCCCGTCTTCCAACTGACAATTGCTGGACATAAGCAGATATTCGTCGGCAACGTACAACTTACAAACGAGGTATGCGACGAGAGCCGCTTTTGCAAGATTGTCTTCTCAGGGTTGGAATTGTTAAGGTCGGCAGTCCATGATGGCCTTTTTACAGCGCACGAGGGTGAACGCAACTGGGATATCGCGCACAGGATCCTTATGCCAGTTTTTGGACCGACTAAGATCCGAGGAATGTTTGATCAGATGAATGACATTGCGCAACAGCTATGTCTCAAATGGTAGGCTAGAGTGTCAGTACGTTCAGTCTATCCATCGCTAACAATAGGGTATAATAGGGGTCGTTATGGTCCTACGTTCCCTATAGAAGTTACTGAGGACTTCACACGCCTCACATTGGACACAATCGCTCTCTGCGCAATGGGCTATCGTTTCAACAGCTTCTATCGCGACAACATGCATCCTTTTGTCGACAGAATGAATAGGTTTTTGAAAGATACCAACACGCAATCTGGGCTCCCGGACTTGTTCAACAGTCTATGGCTTCATGCGAAAAAAAGAAACAAAGAGGACATAAAAGCCATGAGGGAGTTTAGTCAGGAAGTCGTCGACCAGCGGCGACAGAATCCAGTAGACGCGGATGACCTTTTGAACGCTCTTCTACATCAAACTGACCCCAAGACTGGAGAAGGCTTGAGTGACTCGTCAATCATAGACAATATGATTACATTTCTCGTCGCCGGCCATGAGACCACATCAGGCCTTCTCTCTTTCGCATTTTACTATATGCTCAAAAACCCCTGGGCGATGGAAAAGGCTCAGCAGGAGGTTGACAACGTCATTGGTACAGAACGAGTCACCGTAAATCATTTGTCGAAATTGGAGTATCTCAATGCGATTCTGAGGGAGACGCTACGACTCATGCCAACAGCGCCGGCGTTTACAGTAGGCGCCCTCAAGGATGATGTCATAGGCGGGAAGTATGCCGTTAAAAAAGGTGAACCTATTAACCCCATTCTTCAAGCAGTTCACTGTGATAAAGAAGTATATGGACCTGATGCGACAGAGTGGAAACCGGAGAGGATGCTAGAGGAGGGATTCCACAAGCTACCAGCCAACTCATGGAAACCCTTCGGTAATGGAAAGCGAGGTTGCATTGGGCGAGCTTTCGCCTGGCAGGAAGCATTGTTGGTGGGTATTATCCTTTACTTACTGCTCAAACGCCACTAACTCTTTTCAGGTGGTAGCTGTTTTGCTACAGAGTTTTACCTTCACGGAGGATGACCCTTCTTATCAACTTCGAATAAGAGAGGCTTTGACGATTAAACCGGATGGCTTCAAGATCCGTGCAACATTGAGAGAGCACAAAACGACCGCTGGGATGGTTCCCGAATCCGTGCAGTCTTTGAGACAAGCGCAAAAGAGCGGCAAGCCTGGGAATTCGAAATCTTCTGCAAACGAATCAATGGTGGGCCAGGGCAATGGCAGGTCCGTATCCATATTTTACGGGTCAAACAGTGGGAGCTGCGAGTCCCTCGCAAATCTCCTTGCGAGTGATTGTGCAAAGTATGGCTTTTCGGTACAAACAACAGATGCTCTGGACGCCGCCCGGGAGAACTTCACTTCGAATCAGATTGTTCTGATCGTAGCATCGACATATGATGGAAAGCCTGCTGATAACGCGACTGAGTTCGTCAACTGGCTCAAATCGCTCACGGGAGAACCTCTGAAAGGTGTATCGTATGCTGTTTTTGGGTGTGGTATGTGGAACTGCAGATTGCGTGTATAATGCATAGCTCACCAAACTTAGGGCATCACGATTGGGCAACGACATTCTATAAGATACCCATTCTTATCGACGAGCTTCTCGAGCAACGCGGGGCCCAAAGAGTTGCGCCTCGTGGTGCCGCTAATGCAGCAGTTAGCGACCTCTTCTCAGACTTGGAAAAGTGGGAAGAGAGTATCCTATGGCCCGCACTGGGTCTCACTCCTGCGCTCCTTGAAAGTCAGGGCGACACTCAACCTAGACTAACAATTTCATTTCAGCGTCCGTACACCCAACGGAAGGAGTTTTTGGAAGCTACTGTCACAAGCGCTTCTGAGCTGACCACTTCCGCGTCTCCTTCTCGAAAATGCCACATGGAACTGCAACTGCCACAAGATATGACATACAATACGGGTGACTACCTGGCCGTGTTGCCGTTGAATCCGCTTTCCAATGTACAGCGGGCTTTGTCTCGCTTTCACTTGGCTTGGGACAGCGTCCTTGTAATTGAAGCTACTGGGCCCACGCAGCTTCCAACAGCAACCCCAATCTCAGTGGCGGATTTATTCGGCGCGTATGTCGAGCTTTCCCAGCCAGCCACTCCACGGGTGAGTAAAGGTCACACTAACAATTCGGAGTTCGAAGCTGATAGAAAACGCTGTAGAACATCAGAGCACTTGCTGGTGCTGCGTCGGATGAACCGACGAAACAGGCTTTACTGAAATTGGCAGAAGACGACTTCGCTACCCAGGTCCGAGACAAACGACTATCAGTTCTTGACCTGCTTGGACAGTATGAATCCGTTGCATTGCCTGTCGAGGCGTTCATAGAGATGCTACTGCCACTTCGTCCACGTACATATTCCATTTCGTCAGCGCCCCAATGGAACCCGTCGCACGCGTCCATCACATGGTCTATTATAGATACCGTATCATGGTCTGGTCATGGTCGCTTCCTTGGTGTCGCTTCTAACCACTTGTATGATCTCTCGCCGGGCGCCGTGGTACGTGTTTCTGTGCGACGCTCGAACCCTGCGTTCCATCCGCCCCAGGACCCAAACTCTTACCCTATCATCATGATTGCCTCTGGGTCAGGTCTTGCACCCTTCCGTGGCTTTATTCAGGAACGCGCCTTGCAGCAGAAGGCAGGCATGACGCTTGCCCCGGCTCTACTGTTTTTTGGCTGTCGAGGACGCGATGATGATCTCCACAGGGCTGAAATGGATGATTTCGAAAAATCCGGTGTTGTCCGCGTGATGCGCGCCTACAGCAAAGCGCCAAACGAACCTGATGCTTTTGGGTGTGCATACATTCAGGAAAGAGTATGGTCCGAGAGGAAGGAATTTAGAGAGCTGTGGAATCGTGGTGCAACAGTCTTCGTCTGCGGTGGCACCAAGATGTCAGAGGCAATCAAGGATGTTTTCATAAAGATTGCTTACGGAAACGCCGGACAGGATGATAACAAGAGCTCCAGGGATTGGTTTGCTAGTCTCGATCCACACCGATATGTAGCTGAAGTGTTCAACTAGCCTATAGTAATCAGTTGGTACGTATTCAAGACAGACAGAAGAGATTTGCTTGAACTAAGTGTGAGATTTATTGACTATGGGAAGCCCTCCTGAGTTACTGGAAACAACGAGCGCTCTCTGCGAATGAAATAGATTAGCACATGCTTTCGGCGGGTCAAAACAATCTCGCGTGATGCAGTAGGTATTGTTCTTCGCCGAGTAGTATACTGCGTAGCAGCTGTGTCTCAGTAGAGTTTAGAACTGGAGAGAAATCTAAGCTAGACTTGCATTCCTTTTATATGATGCTTGATTGGTTTTCCGTTCGGGGAATAATCTAGTCAGAGTCGTCGATGCAGAGGCCAGAACGTTGTCACAAGAGTGCAATTACGTCAATTGTAACATGGTTGGTTACATTGATACATACTTCATTTGCATTTTGCATGATATCTTCAAAGAGCCTAATTAATTGCATAGTTCCTGTTCTTATGTTGACATGTGCCAAGCTTTGTCTGCGATTAGTTTAGTATGCCACATTGTAGGCAACTAATGGTTCAAGGATCTCTGTAACAAATTCTGCTAGTCTTTACACATTCGAGTGGGTATGTAGTCACTACACAATAACACTATGGTGATGTACATTGTATGAATAAGCTATGCTTGCACCTGCAGCAAACTAGTTTATGGCATCTTAATTAAGACCAGTAGTACTCGAGAATAGTATAAGAGACCTGGAAGACACGCTTGGTAAAACTTGACAAGTCGACTACCACTGCGAATGATACCCGATTCTAGAGTCCAATGATGTTTTTGTTTTGCAAAAACAATGATCTGCAGTACGTCCTAAGGTGTCATTAACAAAGGGTTCGGGCAGTTGACAAACATAGTAAATCAATTGGGTCTGCAACTGCAACAACAAGCAGTGTTCAATCCAGTAACTGCGTATCATATCTGGGAATGACTGTGACTAAAGACATGTTATCTAGCCACCATGTGAATGTACCAGGGAATTATACGGTGGTGGAAGTGCAATTGAGCAGATTGATGGAAGCGGGTAGCAGTAATTACAGCGTTGTATTGTCAGGTACATTATGGAGTCTCAGAATATGGCGAGAACTCAAGTGTTGCTCACACTAACACATGACTGACTAAGCCTTGGCCTTGAACCCCCCTTTCGGGAATGGTACGATTTGTTGCTCGGCTGTGTGCCTCACATTACCCATTGTAACTGTCCAGTTCTCTTCGTCGAAGATGGTGTATACGCCACGAAGAAATGTATCACCCATTGTGCTCGCACTATCACCGCGAGGTGTGATAAAGGAGCCACATGTGCCATCAGCAAACTTGGATACGAGACTGGACAGGGGAATTTGGACCTTTCCAGTAGTGCCAAACTCGACGGAAATGTAGCTCTTTGAATGGCTGGGATCACGGTACAGGCAGTCGATAACTTGGACACGGTTCAAATTATCACCACTGCCTTGGCCGCCAAGTCCTTGGTAGACAGCCTGGAAAATTGAATCGCTCATGTACCAGGATGCGGTACCGGTATCAAGCAAGATAGGGATACCAACACCCTCGTCTCCGTAGGTTTGTGAAGTGCGATTACCACCGTCAAGGACAACCTCCATTGCCGTGACGTTCACATAGTTTGTTTGACTGTCAGTGAGGTAAATGCTCTGTGGATCCACCATGTTCAGCGTGAACAAGTCGCCGTCGACCTTTGCTTTGTCATAGGCTCCACCTAGAAGCATCATTGCATTAGTGGCGTTGGCATCATCCAGGCCAAGATAGAAGCTTGCTGCCATAATATCAATTACGGAAGCATTCTTCATTTGCGGTAACAGGTACGGTCCTGCCCATGTACATTGTGGACCAGTCACGGCGCAGTTCAACGTCAAGCCTAGATATTGCAAGCAAACTGTCAGAGTATGTTCGGAGACGGGGCAAATGTTTGTGTGGTCATACCGAGAATGGTGGCAGTTGGGTTCGAGACGTAACTCATGGTTGAATATCCAGATGTGTAGCCAAAGTACATGTTTGGCATGGTCACGCCGCCCAGGATCAAAGTGTCGTTGAGGAAGTCACCATAACCGCGTTGGGCCAGGCCATCCGCAAAATAGGCACCTTCATAGTGGCAAGTTCTGCAAGACGGGTGGTTAGGAGAGCCATGAACAGAAATGTCGATAGTAATGACTCACGAAGAAGTCAAGTTGTTGAAAGTGCCATAAGTACTGCAAGGCTGCGAGGCTTGGGTGCACATGGGGTTGCGCGGGTCCAGGAAGGAATAAAACGGGCTGCCAGTGTCGACCTTGAGATACTCCTTCTGCGGCGGCGTTCCAACTTGGAATTCTGCGTAGTATGCATCAAGTGCCTGTGCTCGGACCAAAGGCACGGCGACAACTCCTGCAGGAAGGTCGGCTGCAACAGCAGGAAGTGCGAGGGCAGCGAGCAGCGCCAGTGAGACTGTTTTGGTGTCCGCCATGGTGAAGTTGTGCAGGTGCAAACAAGATGAAGACGGGTCAGTCAAATTACATGCATGCTCCAACCCTTTACGGAGGTGCCTTTCAAAAGTTCTGTCTGCCAAGAATAATTCAGCCAAAGTACGGCCGCCTTAGTCGAGGCTTGTCTCTTCCCTCTATATACTCATTACCACCTTGTAGCTTAATTATCTTTTAGACATAAATAAGAATCCGCTTAATCTAAGCTTAGATCTTAACTTAAGAAAGGTCTCTCTAGCAATTCTGCTAGACTCTAACTGCCTTAGCCCTTGACTATGGAGCTCCTTTCTTCGTAGTCTCTCTCTTCATATAGAACCAGCACGGCTCAATATAGTTACAGTCTAGCGAGTTGCCACACTAGAGTAGTCTCTCGACGTCGTGCAGACTATAGATCACACTCTGATAGTGGTGGGCGTGGGCAGGTGCCTTATCTTCCATCACGACAGTCTGAGGTCTATCTTGGAGGCACTCTTTGGCGAAAGGAATCAGCTTTGGTATCAGAATACAGTTCTGATATCTCCACCAGTCTATACCACCTCCAGGCTTACGCACCAGCTTGCCTGTATTCTCTGTCCATCTCTATTGAGGTTTTCTGCCAGGCTTGTTGCGCAGCCCTGTCCTCCTTATAGACTCTGACAGCTCCCACTCCTCTCTTTGTAGAGGTTTAAGCTTAGCGTTTACCTGCTCAATCTTCTAAGCAGCATCCTCTTTCTCTGCCTTTGTCTCTAGCTAGTAGATATAGCATAGACCTTTCTTGTTATACGAGAAGCAGCCCTAGAACATAAACTTAAAGTATCCCTTCCACCTCTCACAGATACAGCTCTTAACTACTCTCTTGTCTGCTTTTCTCTAGATCCTATAGCCCCCACGTTAGTGGTTGATTACTACAGACGTCTTGTCTATCTAGATAACATTCTTCCAGTCCTCTAACGTCTAGTCCTTGTAGTTAATCGCCTATCTAAGACGAGCACTCCTCATCTCTTATGTTAACCTAGGCTTTCTTGTTAGCTTAGTCTTCTTGTATCCTGCTTCTTTTAATACCCTCTAGACAGTAGAGGCAGAGATTTCGACTCCTTGGAGACTAAGCGCACTAGCAAGGTCAGCGCAGCTCTTCTCTTGTCCATATCTATCGCGTCGTACTTGTTAAAATATCTGCTCCTTTACCTCCTCTGTCTGCTTAGCAGGCCTGCTAGAGCGAGGGGCATCTTAAACGTGCTGTGGAAGGATCTTAAGAGAGAGAACGTTTAGCTTAAAGCCAGCAGCGATAGCTCTACTATAGATACGATCAACTGTACGAGGATTAACACCAGTCAGCTCTAAGATCTGTGACGTTAACTTGCTAATAGGAGGTGACTTTAACGTTACAATCAAGACACGGGTGTAAGAATTAGTATTAGGAGCCATAGTACCAAGTAGATAGATAACTACAACTAATCGACCGACCAACCAACACCAACTTCGAATTTTCTGGAAACCGCTAGGAAAGCACGCTATCTAGGAGAACCGACTACGAGAATTCGACTAACAGCACTTTCAACACCTGCAGCTAAGGCGCTAGCGCGCAGTAGGGAGAAGAAGGAGGCCTTCCTTCGTTATCTCACGCCTGTGAGAATTTTCTCACAGAGCTTAGGCTCTAATGCCAAGACTAGAGGGGCTAATAGGAACGCAGGAGCTTATTGAAGCTTATTATTATTATTATTATTATTATTATTATAGTTTAACGTCCTTTTTCAGCCCGAAGGGCTATATAAGACGTGTAGGGTTTTAAGGCCTACAAGTATCTAAGTAGGTTGTTTCTAGCTACGATATTTAGGAGGGGTTTTAACTAGATAAAGGTGAGGCTCGTAGCCTATTGGTTGGTA